TGTGTTCCCTCTCTCGCTGTGTCTCTCTCTGTCAAATAAATAAATAAAATCTTTAAAAAAAAAAAAAAGGCTAAAATCACCTCAGGCACCTTTTCCAACCACAACGGAATGAAACTAGGTATCAGTAACAGCAAGAAAATGGGAAAATTCACAAACAGATGAAAATGAACGGATTCTTGAACATGCGGTCAAAGAAGAAATCAAAAGGGAAATTGGTAAATATCTAGAGATGGGCACCTGGGTGGCTCAGTCGGTTAAGCGTCTGCCTTTGGCTCGGGTTGTGATCCCAGGGTCCTGGGATCGAGCCCTGCATTGGGCTCCTTGCTCAGCAGGGAGCCTTCTTCTCCCTCTCCCTCTCCCTGCCGCTCCCCCTGCTTGTGCTCTCTCTTCCAAATGAATAAATAAAATCTTAAAAAAAAAAAATCTAGAGACAACAAAAATGAAAACACAATATACCAAAATTTATGGGACGAAGCAAAAGGAGTACTAAGAAGGAATTTTATAGTGATAAGCACCTACGTTCTTTCTACAAAAAAAGAAAAGATCTCAAATAAACAGCCTAACTTCACACCTCAAGGAACCAGAAAAAGAACAAACTAAAATCCAAAGTTAGCAGAAGGAAAAAAATAATAAGAGTAGATATAAATGAAACAGTAAAGTGAAAATCACTAGGAAAAAATAATCAACAAAAGTAAGAGTCAGTTTTTTGAAAAGATAAACAAATTAACAAACCCTTAACTAGCCTAAGAAAAGAGAGAAAGAAGATGCAAATAAAATCCAAAATGAAAGAGGAGACATTACACCTGATGCCACATTTTTTTAAAAATCATAAGCTACTATTATGAACAATTACAAGCCAACAAGCTGGACAACCTAGAAGAAACGGATAAATTCCACCAAGTCTGCAACAAGATTAAAGCTTGTAAGTAAGGAGACAGAATCAGTAACCAAAAACCTCACAAAAAAGAAAAGCCCAAGACCAGATGGCTTCACCAGATTAATCAATTCACTGATGAAGTCTACCACACATTTAAAGAATAATTAATACCAATCCTTAAATTTCCAAAAACAATGAAGAGGGAACACTTCCAAATTCACTTTATGAAGCCAGCGTCACTCTGATACCAAAGCCAGACCTTAAAGACACTACAAGAAAAGAAAACTATAGGCCAATATCCCTGATGAACACGGATGCAAAAATTATCAACAAATTTTAGCAAACTAAATTCAATGATACATTAAAAGGATCACATGACATAACCAAGTGGGATTTATCCCTGGGATGCAAGAATGGTTCTACATATGCAAATCAATTAATGTGATACACCACATTAACACATTAATGAAGGACAAAAATCAGATGATTGTCTCAACAGATGCAGAAAGAGCATTTGACAAAATTCAACATTCTTCCATTATTAAAAATTCTCAACAAATTAAGTTGAGAAGAAAATTACATCAACACAATAAGGACCATACATGAAAAGCCCACAGCTAACATCTTCAATTGTGGAAAACCCAAAGCTTTTCTTCTGTAATTTGGAACAAAGCATGGATGACCACTCTTGCCACTGCTACTCAACATGGTACTGTAAATCCTAGCCAGAGCAATTAAGCAAGAAAAAGAAATGAAAGGAATCCAAATTGGAAAGAAAAAGTAAAATCATCTATCTGCAGATGACATGATCTTATATGTAGAAACCCCAAAGATGTCACCCACCCAAAAAAAGAACTATTGGAATAAATGAATTTTTAAAAGTTGCAGGATACAAAAATCAACTTACATTTCTGTACACTAACAATAAACTATCTGAATAAGAAATCAAGGAAATAATCCTATTTACAATAGCATCCCAAAAAACCTAAATACTTAGGAATAAACTTAACCAAGAAGGTAAAAGACTTGTATACTAAAAAGTATAAAGCACTTATGAAAGACATTTTAAAAAACACAAATAAATGGAAAGACAGCCCTCGTTTATGGACTGAGAGAATTCATATTCTTGAAATGTCCATACTATCCAAAGTGATCTACAGATTCAATGCAATCCTTATCAAAATCCCAATGATTATTTTTTATAGAATAACAGATACAGAAAATAGATACATAAAAAACAATCCTAAAATTTATATGGAACCAAAAAGGACTCTAGATAGCTAAAGCAATTCTGAGCAAGAAGAACAAAGCTGGAGGAATCAGAGTTCCTGATTTCAAAATCTATTACTAAGCTACAATAATCAAAACAGCATGGTACCAGCATAAAAACATGCAACGCAATGGGAACAGAAATAGATCATATCTTCGTATCTGTCCAACAGACTAGCACCACGTAGAAAAATCAACTCAAAATGGATTAAAGATAAACTTAAGACCTAAAACCATAAAACTCCAAAAGAAAACACAGAGGAAAAGCTTTTTAGCACCAGCGATGCTTTCTTGGATGGAATACCAAAACAAGGGCAAAAGAAACAACAAAGTGAAAAAGCAACCCATAGAATGAGAGAAAATGTCTGCAATTCATACCTCTGATTAATATCCAAAATACATAAGAAACTCATTACAACTCAACAGCAAAAAAATAAAAATAAAATAACCCAGGGGCACCTGGCTGGCTCAGTGGGTGGAGCGTGTGACTCTTGTTGATCTCAGGGTTGTGAGGCGGAGTCCCACATGGTGTAGTGATTACTTAGAAATTAAATCTTAAAAATAAAATAAAATAAAACCACCCAATTAAAAAATGGGCAAAGGACCTGAATAGATATTTCTCCACAGAAGACCCAGAGATGTTCATACCTTCATGTGGAAAACTGCTCAACATCACTCATCATCAGAGAAATACAAATCAAAACCATAATGAGCTATCACCTCATGCCTGTTGGAGTAGCTACGATCAAAAAAAAAAAGATAACAAGTATTGCTGACAGTGTGAAGAAAAGGGAATCCTTATACACTGTTGATGGGAATGCAAACTGGTGCAGCCACTATGGAAGATGGTAGGGAGGTTCCTCAAGAAATTAAAAACAGAACTACCATTTGATTCCACAGTCCCACTTCTGGGTCCATATCTACAGAAACTAAACAAACTCCCACACTCATTTCAGCTTTATTCACTATAGCCAAAACATGAAAGCAAGTTAAATGTCCAGTGAAAGATGAACAGATCAAGAAAATGTAATATTTACATACAATGGAATATTATTCAGCCTTAAAAAAAAAAAAAGTAAATGCTGTCATTTGCGACATGGTGAACAAGGAAAACAGTGTGCTACGTGAAATAAGCTAGACAGAGAAGAATAAATACTGCATAATTCCACTTATATAAGCAATCTAAAATGGTCACACTCACAGAAGCAGAGAGTAGACTGGTGGTTGCCAGGGGCTTGGAGGGAGGGGGAAACGGGGAGATGTCAGTCAAAGGGCACAAAGTTTCAGTTATGCAAGATGACTAAGTCCTACAGATCTACTGTGTACCATAATGCCTATATAATATACTTAAAAATTTGCTAATTTAAAAAAAAAAAAATTTGCTAATTATACTGGGGTTTAAAAAATAAAATTTATTTTATTTTAAGATTTTATTCATTTATTTATTGAGAGAGCATTCGAGTGATCAGGGAGAGGGGCAGCAGGAGAAAGAGAATCCCAGGCAGACTCTGCGCCGAGCATGAAGTACTGCGCCCGACGCAGGGCTCAATCCAACGACCCTGAGACCACGAGCTGAGCTGAAATCAAGAGTTGTTCGCTCAGGGCGCCTGGGTGGCTCAGATGCTTAAGTGTCTGCCTTCGGCTCAGGGCGTGATCCCAGGGTCCTGAGATCAAGCCCCATGTCGGGCTCCCGGCTCAGTGGGGAATCTGCTTCTCCCTCTGCCTCTGCCTCTCCCCCTGCTCATGCTCTCTCTCTCTCTCTCAAATGAATAAAATGAAAAAGAAATCTTTAAAAAAAAAAAAAATTAAATTAAAAAGAAAAGTCAGATGCTCAACCGACTGAGCCACCCAGGCGCCCCAGTAAATTCTTTTCAAATTTGCTAAAAGAGTAGATCTATGTCAAGCGTTATTATCACAAAAAATTAAAAGTGTAAAAATAAAAAAAAAACTAGAAGGCAAAAAGTAACTTTTGGAGGTAACAGATATGTTTATGGTACTACTATGCTGCTGGTTTCACAGGTGTATATTCATCGCCAAACTCATCAAGTTGTTCACGTTGAGTATGTATAGCTTTTTGTACGTAAATCATGTGTCAATAAAGTGGTTTTTTGAAAAGAAAATAAGTGTATTATCACAGTGCATGCAGAGTAACAACTTAATAAGTAGATCTTATTCCTGCCCTCCTACATCTTCCAGACAGAGTGTGCCATCCTCTGTCTTAGCTCCCCCAACCCACTGTGCATCCGTCTACACCATTTTACACATTATATCAGAATTACATGTTTGCACATTTCCCTCATCAGACAATGAGCTCTTCTGAGGGAGGGACCGCAGTGTATTGGTGGCCCCTAAACCAAAGCCCTCAGGAGAGCAGCACATACCCGGGAGTCGTTTGCTTCAGCATTAACTAAAAAAACAGTAAGGAATGGATCAGTCTGGTCATGGTGAGACAGATAATAAAACATCATATCTTAGCCAACAATTACAATTTCACTGTTAAGACTTCTCCAAGACTGTTGTCTAAAACGTAAATAACTTGGGGCGCCTGGGTGGCTCACCTGCTTAAGCGACTGCCTTCGGCTCAGGTCATGATCCCGGGGTCTTGGGATCGAGCCCCACATCAGGCTCCCTGCTCCGCAGGAAGCCTGCTTCTCCCTCTCCCACTCCCCCTACTTGTGTTCCCCCTCACGCTGTCTCTCTCTCTGTCAATTCAATAAATAAATGAAATCTTTAAAAAAAATAAATAAAAATAAAACGTAAATAACTCTGGGAAGAAGCAAATTGTTATGAGTCATTCTTATCTTCATGAGGCAAGTAAAAGATCAGAAATCTAAATCAAATGCAAAGGATACGCAATCCCTCTGATCCGCTTGATTTTCCCTGGATCTGTGAGCTGGACAGGCTTGAGGACCTTCCTTACGGGACACGAGAAGAGCACTTCCCCTCCTCCTCCAGGAGGCATTCCCCGCCGCACCACCTGCGCAGGTGATGAGAGAGAAGAGGTGAGGAGGCGGCAGAGTGGGGGACCCTGATACCCAGCCTGGCTGGTTTAGGCCAAGGGGCTCTTCCTCAGAACGCAGTTAGCTCTTTCGTAGCCAACGGGTCAACCCCTTCAAGACCATCGAGAGGGCACGTGCTGAGCAGGGACCCCGAACGGCAGGAAGAGCAGCGGACACAGGGCCAGCACGCCCCAGGGGTCACTTCGCCCCTGCCACCTGTTCCCTCATGCTTACGATGAGCGGCTCAACTGCTTTCTTAACCATCAGGAACCGTTTCTCCTTCCTATGCAATTAACTAATCTAGCAAAATTCATTTTATTAATAAAAATGAAGTCATTTCCCTTGTTTAAGACATTAACTTAAAAAGTAGAGATGCTAAGCAGCTTAAGATACCCAGTTAACTTAGTGATGTAATAATTCCTTCCAATAGCAAACAAACAGATGCTTAAATTACTTCTAGGTTTTGAAAACACTGAAAACTCTCCGGGGCATCCAGGTTGGGAGGCCCGGGACGCGAATTACATCTGGGTGACCTCGCTCAGAGAGCGCGTGTGGCCGGAAGCCTGGTGCGGCCGCTTCCCGGCAGAGCTGCCGTGAGGGATAAAGGAGTCCGTCCGCGTGCAGCGCGCACAATGCCGCTCACCACAGAGGAACGGGCGCTGCCACTGCTCGGGTCCCTTCTCGGCGCAAAGTCTGTCATGTTTGGATCACGGCTCCTGTGGGGCTGGCTCAATGGTGACTTCAAGCGTGACACACACAGACACACTGCGTCCTACAGCTCTTCCAACGAGTTCATAAGAGAATACTTTACACACGTTTACAGCCAACAGTGTACACACTCTTACCTTCAGCTCAAATGATTCACCGTCAATTCCAAACTGCTTCAACAGAGGGAGGGCTGTTGCCTTAAGGACATCAACCTGTAGAATTATTCCAGAAAAAAAAAAAAGTTTAATTAAACTTTGAGGGACGCCTGGGTGTCTCAGTCGTTAAGCGTCTGCCTTCGGCTCAGGTCATGATCCCGGGGTCCTGGGATCGAGCCCCACATCGGGCTCCCTGCTCGGCGGGGAGCCTGCTTCTCCCTCTGCCTCTCCCCCTGCTTGTGTTCCCTCTCTCACTGTCTCCCTCTCCCTCTGCCTGTCCCCCCAGTTTGTGCCTTCTCTTTCTCTCTCTAATAAATAAATAAAATCTGAAAAAAATTTTAAAAATAAAAAATAAACCTTAAGAGGTGGAAAGAATAAAGAGCCCATGAAAGCAGGATGAGGTTTAGCAAGCAGGTAGATGATGCGGTCCTGTGAAGAGAAAAGCACGCTGGCTTACAACCGAGGGAGTGGGCCAGCTCTGCTCCCAGGTAAGACAGCAATTTTACAAGCCACTGGCTTCTCTGAGCCCCTCTTCCCTCACTTTATACATTACACACCTACCTTGCAGGAGGATCACATGCATCATGCAAAAAGCATCGAGAAACTGCTGAGTTCATCCAAAAAACAAACTGGGACTTCTGCTCATTCTGTTCTTTTTTTTTTTTAATTTATTTGAGAGAGAAAGAGCGGCGGGGAGGAGGGCCATGCAGGGCAAACAGGAGAATCCTCAAGCAGACTCCCTGCTGAGCTCAGAGCCCGACATGTAGCTCGATGCCAGGACTGTGAGATCATGACCTGAGTCAAAACCAAGAGTCAGACACTTAACCAACTGAACCACGCGAGGGCCCCGACTTCTGCTCATTCTTATAGGCATAAATGCTATAGAAGAAAATACCAGCCTTTTTTATTATTCTTTTTCCAACATGGTTGTTTAACGTTTAAAGCTGGTGGCACTCTAAGCCAAAACAAACCAAATGAACCTGAGCTGGAGAGACCTGGGATCCTGCCGATGCCCACCACACAGGCAGTTAAAGGGGAGGTGGTGAGCCCACAAGGGGGTGGGGGCAGACGGGGAAGGGCAGCCGCAAACTCCAGGAGCGGCACAAACCTGGACTGTGACGACAAGACCCACAGTTAATGGCAAGGCTGTGCAAAGTGCTGCTGTTATGTCCTCCTCACTCGGAACTCCTGGGAGGCCTGGGGTCCTCTGCTTACTTATCTGCGGACTCCCCCGAGGGAACAGGATGACACTCAAATCCAGCCAGCTAATAAGTCCATGAACGTCATCTCAACAGCAACTTGGGAAGAAAAATCACTCCCTCACTTGCTCCCAGTGCAACAGAGCTGCTCCTCAGCCTGCAGGAGCTGACCCTATCTGCAGGCGGCGAGGGCAGGCAGGGTGAGCGGGGCGCAGAGGGAATAGTCTGGTCCTGGTCCAGGCTCTGCCTCCAGTTAACTGTGTGGCCTCAGATCAGAAAATCCCACATGTCTGAATTTCCCTGTCTCTAAGGTAAGGGGCTCAGCCTGTCTCCAAGCTGCTAAGATTCAGCACAGCAATATTCCAATAAGGCTTCAGAGCACAGAACAGGCCCCAGCTAAATATTCTGATACCACAAAACTAACCAGAGGCAGAAATGACCTATGAAGCCTAGGAACACGGTCAGAATGGATCAGGTGGGGCAGAAGCAGTTACGAGGACAACTCATTAAAGATTAGCTAATTTCGTTAAATATTAAAGCTAAACACACGTTAAAAACTTAAAATATGCATCTGGGGTTGCCAGAACAGAGAAGTCAGTCTAGACTAGAATGAAGGGCAACTGGAGAGAGGCTAAGCCAGACTCTGGGAAAAGTGGGGGGTGGTGGGTACAGGCTGCTCTGAGGGCATGACTCCCAGGAACTAGGCACCACCAGCCCTCCTGGGGGAAAGAAAGGCGAGAAAACAGGGCATCACTTCCGGCTCATCCTACCTATACTTGGAGTCAAAAGGACGCGGTCAAATTGACTCTGAAGGCCAGCCAGAAGCCCCAGTGTAACCGGAGGTGTGGTCCTGTCTCCTGACACTCTCCATTTGACATGGAGGGCAGGCATCGTGATGCATGGGACCAGGGCCGGAAAAGCAGATAGGGGCTTGAGTCGCTCTCTGCCTCTCACCAGCTGTGACACCTCGACACTTCCCCACATCCCCAGGGCCTTGGGTGCCTCCTGCATAAAGTGAGGGGCTGGCCTGGACACGCTCCCCTGGCTCCACACACTCTAATTTTAGCAGAGCAAGGATGGTCTGCAAGTCCTGCTTAAGGAAACGAAGCTACAACTTTGTAATTACAGGCAAAAGTCTGACCCAGGTGGCACCTGAGGGCAAAGGCATTACCCTTCCGTCTAGTCAATCAGTCATCAGACAGAAATGTGACCAGATCCAAGACAAAAAGAAAAAGGGAGAAAACCCACTCCCAGCTACCTTGTCTGAAACAGTGATAAGAACATCCACCTCACAGTGTTGGTAAAAGAATTAAATAAATAAGGATGCATACATATGAACACAGGTTCACCCAGAAGAGTGCCCAGCACACAGCAGACGTAACTGTACTTGTTTTCCCCTCCCAGGAGGGAACTAAAAAAGACTGGAATCTTCACTTGCCTCTTGACCAGTGGCTCTGGAGCAGAATTACTGAGAATCAGAGGAGACCTCCTGAACTTTTATTCTCCTCAGAATTTGTCCCCACTTCCTGTCCTTTTGTCCCCAGGGGAAAATGTCCCTATTCTTGCAGAAGGCTCACCCCATCGCTTCCACTGTTGACCCTCACCCCTCCAACTGTTGGAGTCAGCCTTACAAACACCCCCACTCCTTTTATTTTAATTGTTCCTTTCTCCACTACAGCATCTCCTCTGCCCACAAGCAAGATCAAGCTTCCCCTCATTCAAAAAACAAAAATCAAACCAAACCAAAACAAAAACTCAGCTCCTAAAGAATCATCCTAACTTTCTAGAAGAATCTCCTGGTTTTCCACGGTTCTATTTGCTACTCATTTCCTCAATGCATGCCTGTCCTTACAGTCCAATGACACCACTCTCTCAAAGGTCAACACAACTTCTCACTGCCCAATCTCCCCACCCAGCCCTAAGGGAGCTCCTGCAAAAACTGGCTCTGTGAGTCACCCCCTGCTTCTTAGAACTCGACTCCGATCTCATGGTCACTGCCTCCAGCCCCTCTTCTCCCGCTCACACCTTAAACATTCATTTCCTCTTCTTCCTCTATTCTCAGTCTCAGGAGCCATGCGGCCCACAGAGGCCAGAAAGGTAATTTTAATGGACCATGAGGTCAGCTAAGATCTGTGTCCAACCAAAGAGCTCACGATTTATCCAAAGAGGGCAGGGCCACGCAGGTCCAGCGGATGGCCACCCAGTGCTGCCACATCAACCTAGTATAATATAGAATCTGGGGTCTCAAACATGAACCACCGATTCGTATACACACACCACCACCACACTGTGCAAGCCGCAGGAAGAATACCTGTAGGATTAATTCAGTCAAAAACCCACCAGTGTTCAACCTTGGCACTGGTTAATCTCATTCTCCTAGGGACTTAACTATCAATAGGTAAGATCCTGATGACCTGTCTCTGAGGCTCCAGACAATAATTTCTAACTGCCAGCTGGACATCCCCATGTGAATATCCTACCAGTACTGCAGAGAAGAGGATCAAAATTAAACATATCGTCCATCATCCTACCACAATTTTCCTCTTCCCTGTGTCAAATGTTATCTGATCTCGATCCTTCCAGTCAAGAATAGAAATCCTGGAATAATTTATAACCACTTCCTCCTATCCCATCTCCAATCAGTTGTCAAGTTAAGAAGTCTCTCACTCCACAACGTCCTTCAGATCTGTCCCTTCCTTTTCACTTCCATGCCCATAATGTTCAATCTAGTTGATGCCTCTTCAATTCATCCTCATCTTCCTAAAATCGGAGACTGACTCTGGCTTCCTTTCCTTAGAAAACCCTCCCCAGCCCTCAGCACTTTGCTTATACCTTTGACAGGGGTGACCCTGTAGTCTCCCTAGCTGCCTTCATAGTTGTCCACCTCATGAGATCAAGTTCCAGAAGGGAACTCTTCCAATTCGTCCTTGCGTGCACAGAGTGGACATGAACGGGGGGGGAGCCACACATTCAAGAGAAAGCTTGAAATGAAGAAGCCACAGGCTGAAGAAGTTACACATATCCAGGATTAGGTGTATTTATTTTATCCTGGTCTGGAGCCAGGTACTAACCAAGGTCATTTTAGCAGTGCAACTAGCAAAAGCAGAGAGCTCTGCAACATGTGAAAATAGATTTTTTTTTTAAACACTCTGCATGCAAGGGGGTCTGGGTGGCTCAGTCGGTTAAGCGTCTACCTTCCCCTCAGGTCATGATCCCAGGGTCCTGGGATCGAGTCCCGCATTGGGCTCCCTGCTCAATGGGGAGCCTGCTTCTCCTTCTCCCTCTCCCTCTCCCTCTCCCCCTCCCCCTGCTTGTGCTCCTGCTCTCGCTCTCTCTCTCTCTGTCAAATAAATAAATAAAACCTTAAAAAAAAAAAAAATACCGTATGCAAGAATTAAGTAGTATTTCTGCGGAATTCATCAGTTAACCTTTGTCATTGTTAATATATAAAACCTTTTTGAATAATGCCAGTGGAAACAGCTTTTAAGATTATTAGCAATTATAGAAAAAAAAAAAAAGAGTGGAAAACTGAGACACATAGTGCCCAAGTTTCCTGCATGCTTCACCCGAGTTTTTCCCATTATGCAAGGCTCCTCCTCCCCACAACTCCATTCTAAAAGTATAGAGGCCTCCTCTCATACTTTTAACTGAAAGGTGGTTTCCTAGAATCTTCAGAAAAGGCAGGAAAAAAAAGCAATCATCTGAAATCAGTTTAAAATTCTGAACAGTTTGAATAAATAAATCTTTAAAAAAAGCGGGGGGGGAGGAGGGCACCTGGGTGGAACAGTCGGTTGAGCGTCCAACTCTTGGTTTCAGCTCAGGTTGTGATCTCAGAGGGGAGACGGGGCCCCGTGTCAGGCTCCACACTCAGCAGGGAGTCCGCTCAGGATTCTCTCTCTCCTTCTCCTTCTGCCCCTCCCCCCACCAAATAAATAAATAAATCTTTAAAATTCTAAACATTTATAATGCAACATTCCTTTACAACTGAGAATTTCAGATCTCACACTGTACTCAGGATCCTAAGAAAAGAGTTTATGTACCTGAATTCCCAAGAACTGAGGAATAAGTCTTTTAGTACCTAGCAACACATTAACCAGGTTTATACCTTAACAGATATCTGGGTGAATACCAGCAGTCTCTGTTTTAGAACTCACTGCACCACCCAATTGGTCTTTCCTGGTTAGGAAAGCTACACACTTCACATTCTGCCTCAGAAGACACCCCCTCAATAGTCCTGGTCCAGTATCAGTAGAGATGAAGACAAGTGTCCTTGGTAAAGATTTCACATCATGGCCCTCAGCTTTTTATACCATCTGTGGCCAGCAAAGAACCCAAAGAGGGGGATCCTTCCCTCCATACAAGAGAAGTACAAGGCAGGCCTGGACAGAAAACTGCTCTAATCTCTGTCTCTGTCTCTCTCTCACACACACACACACACAACAAAACCCATCCTAGATAGGCATTAAGACAGCTATGGTGACCACAGTGAAAATCCCACATGTATATTAAACTATCCTCCCCACACATGCAGGACAATTAGGATGCTTAATAAGAAGCTTGCTGGGGCACCTGGGGGGCTCAGTTGGTAAAGCTTCTGCCTTCAGCTCAGGTCATGATCCCAGGGTCCAGGGATGGAGCCCTGCATTGGGCTCCCTGCTCAGTGGGGAGTCTGCTTCTCCCTCTCCCTCTGTTCCTCCCCACTGCTCGTACTCTCTCTCTCTCTCAAATAAATAAAATCTTTAAAAAAAAAAAAATAAGAAGCTTGCTAGTGCCCACAAACCATGCAAGTGCATGTATACCTTCCCTGCCCTTGCCCTTTTTCTAAATCTGCAAACTCTTCTCGGGAGAAGAAAAGTCCTAAAATTTATGGTTAAAAACTGAGTAAGTCAAGATTATGCTATAGCAACCAAGGAGATATTATTATTTTCTGTCTAAAATTCTGGTCTGCTGCCTTCCAGCCGCAGCCAACACATGACCTTAAGAAGATTCCACTCTCCAGCACTTGAGCCAACAGAGCCGTATTTCATGTCAACCGTGATGAGACTGCACACATCTGTTCTGAAGGCTCTTAGACACGACAATGAAAGGCACCTTGATGAATGTTAACAATCGTCACCGAATCTGATGATTGCAAGTCTTGGTTCATCTGCTTCCTAGAGTGATTAATGTCTAAACCTCAAGGTAAGTAACAAAACAAAGACACTCAGCAATAAACCTGTGTTTTATCAGGAACTTATTTCTCTAACGCTGGGTTGCTGCAAGAGACAAAACGACTCACTACTGACTACTCACCGAAGGGTCAACCTGGTCATTGGTTACTCCTCGCAGAACGATTCTTAACGGGTGCTTCATAAATGGAGCCAGGCAAAGAAGACTCTCCAGGTAATAGCCAATGCTGCGAAGGACATTACAGTCATGTTCCACAGACCCACCACACAGGAGACCAGGCTGGTAATACAACGTCGTTCCTTACACCGGAAGAAGAGCCACATTCAGCAGAAAACAAAAAAAAAAGGCAAAAATAAAAACAAAACAAAAAAGCACTAAGTGTCACAAAGGCAACAAAGGCAGTAAATCCCAAGGGGAAAGTCTGACAAGGGCATCCAAGAAGTTCAAAATGCCATTCCTAAGAGCCCACACTTCACTCCAAAAGCTGACTCATTACTGTCAAGCTCCTGTAACAGTAATAAACTGTGAGTGTAATTTAATAAACGGTAATAAACCCCTCCCTAAGCATCTGAGTTGCCAAAGTCGCGGCAGGGCACAGAGGAGAGATGCTAACAGGCGCTCTGGTCTTCCAAGAGCACACTCTGCCTGTGGGTGGGGGGCTTTACAAATGATGTGCTGAAACCATCACACCAGCAACCAGCTTCTTCTGGGCCCTTGAAACGAGATTTCCCATGAACTGCACTCACCAACAGGCTTCCTAGAGAAGGCAAGTACTTGATGGCATTTAATTCTGTCAATAGTAGCTATTTTAATAGCAACAAACGGAAAGATCTAAAATTACCAAATAGCTTTAGTAGAAGCTCTATTATTTTTACTCACTCTTTCTCATATTCGTATCATCCAAAAAGTTTCTTATTGGGTGTATGCATTAGGGTGAAAAGCAAAGTAAAATATTCTAGATTACTGGGGGGGTGGGGTGGCACATAAATGGGTGAACAAGGGATTGTTGCTGCTCAAAGTCTTTTGCCACTGTCTTCTGGCATAATTTACCAATAAATTTAACATTAGAGGAAAGAGATCTAGGCTCGGTCACTCAAAAGGAAAGCAGCTCTTTGGAGTTATGTAAAATAAAAAAATTTACATAAAAGAAAAAAAGAAAAAATTTATATAAAATTTAAAAAAAAAAAAGACTATATCATCACTAAAGTCTGCAAATCTGTGCCTGCAAATTAACCAAGTGAGAAATTGGTCAGATCATCAGAATGAAGGCTTCTACTCTGGTGGGGCAGGGGGCATGAACTAGAAGCAGGATCATGTAAAATGTCACTTCCCAAGTTAAGCTGCAGATATGACCAGAAAAGAATTATGAACCCTCTGAATCCCCGATAAAAATTGCTGAAAAAACAATTTTTTTAATTTAAAATCTTTTTTAGATCTCCAGCAATTTCAGAGTAAGTCAGTCAAGGAAGACTCGAGGAATCATAGATTGCAAAGGGCATCTGAAGTCTCATTCCTGAAACTTTTTTTTTTTTGAAAGATTTTATTTATTTGACAGAGAGAGAGACAGCGAGAGAGAGAACACAAGCAGGGGGAGTGGGAGAGAGAGAAGCAGGCTCCCCACTGAGCAGGGAGCCCGACGCGGGGCTCGATCCCAGGACCCTGGGATCATGACCTGAGCCGAAGGCAGACACTTAACGACTGAGCCACCCAGGCGCCCCTCATGCCTGAAACTTGTTCTCCGTAGAGTAGAGCCGAATGCAGCTACAGATCAATGAGTCTCATGTGATGTAGGGGCCACTTATGAGGCCAACGCTGTCTTCTTTCTTAAGACAGCCAACGAATGAGGAAGTGCACAGTTTCCTTTGTGGACTATCTGTGCACAGGTGAATAGTTCATGGAGCCAGCCAAACAGTGTTTGCCATGGTTTCCCATACAAGGTCGAGAAAAGAGTTTCTAGGAGCCAACAAACAGCTAGAAACAACCTAAATGTTTATCAGTAGGGAGCAGTTAAATAAATTATCATGCCTCCATACAACAGACTACTAGGCCCACTGAAATATTGAGATGGGCCTGCATGTGCCCAGCAGGGAAAGTTCTGAGACATCTGTGATAGTGAAGAAAAGCAGCTGCGGAGCAACATGAAGAGCGTGACCTTGCTGGCAGCTTGAGGTTCAGAAGTGTCCATGCAAGCAAAGGCATATAACAGAGACCAGGGCACACACCCCAGGCTGTGCCCACGGCTGCCCCTTGGGGAGGGAACGGAAGAAGAAACAGGTGAAGGGATTTGCACATCTTTTGCATAACTTGTGCATACTTATTTTTTTTAAGATTTTTTTTTTTTTTATTTGAGAGAGAGAGAGAAACACGCATGTGGGGGCTAGGCAGAGGGGGAGGGAGAGGAAGAGGGAAAGAATACCAAGAAGACTCTGTGCTGAGCGCACAGTCTGATTACAGGGCTCGATCTCACAACCCCGAGATCATGACCTGAGCCAAAACCAAAAGCTGGACACTAAACTGACTGAGCCACCCAGGTGCCCCATGCATACTTATTTTAAAAGACAAAATTAAAAATTTAAAATAAAATTCAGGGGGCGCCTGGGTGGCTCAGTTGGTTAAGCGACTGCCTTCGGCTCAGGTCATGATCCTGGAGTCCCGGGATCGAGTCCCGCATCGGGCTCCCTGCTCGGCGGGGAGTCTGCTTCTCCCTCTCCTGCTCCCCACTCTTGTGCTCTTTCTCTCTCTCACTCTCTCTCAAATAAATAAATAAAATCTTTAAAAAAATAAAAATAAAATAAAATAAAATAAAATAAAATTCAGCACATAACGACTACCTCACAGAGTTTGCTGTGAAATTTTATTGTGACAAAATAAATAAATGGACTTTGAAAAGTTATGCATAAACTTTAGGTGTAAAGTATTTTTGTTGTTGAAAAAGAGGAGGTGCCTGTTTGTTGATCTGAAATTTCCAGCTTTCTAACTTCTTTAAATCAAATGTGCGCCCCTTATATTGGCAGATTTCACATACATCTCCGCACAACTCTATCACAGACAGGAAACTGGCTCTTTGCACCCGAGTATGTATATGGTCAAAAGGCATGAGAAGTAGACGAATAGTTAAGTAGTACATGTGGGTGCTTTCAGGAACGGGAAGAAAGAGAGCTTACCTGTTTGGTTTATTTCAATCCGAGAACCATTAGTTATTTTGTCCAACAGCCTTATGAAGCTGGCTTCAAAGTCTGTGGGGAAAAGAGAAAACAGACTGGCTTCATGTGAGGTCACCATTTCCAGAGCTGCGGTGGAAGGTACGTGACTCCCTGCGTCACGCCCAGGTTCCTGTCAGGACCAGGGCGGGCCCACTGGCTGAGGACACTAAAGCAGCTGAATAGCACTGGCTAGCACACAGATGTTTGGTGGGACTATCAGAAACAATTCACCTTTCATATCCCACAAAAAACAGCAACTCTACCAGCAATCTAGTGGGGTATTAATTTCAGCAGCCTAACACCCATGTAAAGACCTGCTCTTCTGACCTCAGGGGTGCACGCCAAATAAGGGAGAAATAGCAGAAAGTGGGGAAGCGTTTTAAAGTCCATTTCTTATCTGTTCCAGAATACGTGAGGGGGCAGATGAAATTGCGGGTCACTCCTCAGTCTCAGAAGCAGTAAGAGGTCACTGTCTCCCCCACTCAACTCTGTCCCTTTCTCCCTTCTGCCACCTTACTCATCTAGAGCTATCTAACCAGTTCCATTTTTAATTTCATTACAAAGGTGCTTGAATGTACAGTATTACTACCACCTTCTTCTTAACACATGAAAACAGACTGGAAGAAAAAACACCGCATGTTAATGAATGGATTTCTCTTCATGGTAGGACTTGGTACTTTACATGAATTTAATTTTCTTGTTTAAATTCTCACGTATAAATATACTTCAATTTCTTTTATAGACAGATTGTTATCCAAAAACATAAAAGATGGTCATTATCAAAAGGGGGGGGTAGAAAGGGAGGAAATGGATTTTCAATGTGAACTATGAGAGGAGGAAGAGAGAAGACTCAGGCAGGAGAATATGTCCTGTGGCCTTCCCCTGAGTGGATCTCACACACACACGCACACACACTCACGCTCACTCCCTCCCTCTCTAGAGTCAACCTCTTGCCCGTGAACAAGGGCAGGAAGACCAGCTCTCCCACACCAAAGGCATGGTGGCCACGTGGCTATTTAGGCAGTTTCCACCCCCTGCAAGAAACTAGCAGAATTTTCAAGCTCACACAGCAGCAGTCACCTGAACTGATCCCAGAGGGCGAGCACATCAACTTAGCAATGCTCGTCCACCTGTTCTGTTACTGAACGCTGCCCCACAACTCCTGTCCCTGTAGATGCTGCAATCTGTACAGAGAGCCCTGGGCTAGAAGTCAGAGGAAATCCAGTAAGTCCCGAAACCAGGAAAAGCGGCTACTTCCAGCAGGTTCGCATTAAAGCCTCCCGTGCAGCCAGACATTCCCTCACCTAATCCTCAAAGCCCCGCGGCAGGGAGTGCCATTCCCATTTTACAGAAGGCTGAGGCCCAAGAATGAGACTGGCAAGTGACAGAGCCGGGGGCTGGCTTCTCCGGAGTCCGCACTCCTATCCACACCATAAAGCAGTGTGCCAAACTCCGTTTAATCCCTCAACGTCAACCACCTCCTCTAGAAAATCATGGAACCTTTTAACTGCAGGCAGAGTGATCTACTGCAGGATCCTGCAGACCATTTAATGGGTCCCCCATCAACATTTATTTTTAATGAAATTAGAGCAGAATAAACAATGTCAGAGTTAACCCTACATAGGGCACTGTTCGTGAAACCTCGGTGGGCTTTACAACTATCTGTAGATGTACTGGTTGTGGTGTTAAGTAGCATCACAAAAGTTTGAAAATAAATCAACTACAAAATTGTTTCCATGGCCTCTTAATATAGAATATTCTGTTTTTAAAAAAACCAGGCAGATCCAGACCACAGTGCCACTTTCCACCTATCTTTCTAGCAAATGTAACGGGCTCTGCACAGAAAAAGGAAAACTCTTGAGGTGGCTAAGCTTTTGAGGTGCCTAAAGGGGAGAGAGGAACGGACATTTATGAATAAAGTCCACGATTAAACTCCATAGCTTTTACAGATTAGGAAAGAAAAAAACAAAACAAAAAGAAAGCATAACGTCAGAATTTTTTTTCTTCTGCAATCCACAGGGGCACTTAAGCATGAACGCAGTCAGTTAAAAATGCCCAGCAGAGGAACAGGGCCAGGAACAGAATGGGCACATAAAGAGACCTCCAGGCTGGACCATCCCCTGGTCACAGCAAATGGGTGATTCAGAAGCAGTACTTCAAAGAACCAACCAGAGCTAGTTCCAGAATCCTGGCAACAGTGAAGATATAGCTCCATCACGTGGTATGAAAAAGATCTCAAGTTCACCTAATAATAGTAAGACTGATGTCCTCAAACTTCATTAAGACAAGATGTGTAGGATTCCTTACCCTTTCACTTCCCACACACCCTCTTTGACTCTTCCTCCTCAAGACTGCTCTTGGGGATACAGAAGTTCAGATATCTAAAAACACCAGGGAAAAACATCCAAAACCAGGCACAATTTTACTGCACTGTTTGGGAATACATAACTAGGCCATAAAGCTATAAAGACAATTAACACAAATACTGTACTGGTCAGGAAAGCGGCTACCAGCAGGGGTAGAGGAGGGAATCGTGCCCCAAGAGGCCCCGTAGGTGCAACAGTGTTCTGTTTCTTGACTTGGATGGGGTCACACGAGTGTCCATTTTATAATCTTTTAAGCACTACTTTTATGTTTCATGCATTTTCTATGTTATTATATTTGACATTTTTTAGAAGTTTATACTATTAGGACCTTCAATCTCAGAATTCCTTAAATACTGCCTGTGGTGCCTAATGCACTCCCCTCCTCAGCCCCTCAAGAGGTGAGCTCATCACTTCTTTAAAGGGGCCATTAACTCTGTAACACAATGCCTGACCCATTCCTCACTAAGAAAGGCAAACTGTCTCAAGGGCAGTGAGGGAAAGAATACAAGCTAAAGACCTACACTTTTAAACAAGGAGCAAATCTCAATCAATACAGTTTCAACTTAAAAGTATCATAACAATTTAAATATCTAGAAACAGTAACTGTGCTAAAATAAATTTCTAGTATTATATACATGTCACATATAATATAAATGTTAGATGTATACATATTGGATATATATCAGAACACTCTGCAGCCTTAAAATTAATAAGGAGAATTTTTATGTACTGCTATAAGTCACCTCCATGATATAATGAGTGGAAAAAAGTAAGATGCCACTGGCCATTTGTGTGAAAAAAAGAAAACGTGCATACGTATTTGCTTATTTATGAAAAAAAGAGCCCTGGGAAGAAACACAACAAACTAGTAACACTGACTGCCTCACAGGGAAGGGAGGATGGGAAAGAGACAGAGACACACTGTGTAAACCCTCTTTGCTCCCTCTGAATTTCACACCATGTGTATGTTTTTTAAAATACATAAAATTTAAATTAAATAATACAAATAAAGGTACTGTAACACAATTTTTTTTCAAGATTTTATTTATTTATTTATTTGACAGAGAGAGAGTAGAAGCAGGGGGAGGGGCAGACAGAGGGAGAAGGAGAAGCAGACTCCCCGCTGAGCGGGGAGCCCGATGTGGGACTCAATCCCAGGACCCTGGGATCACGACCTGAGTTGAAGGCAGATAGATGCCCAACCGACTGAGCCACCCAGGTGCCCCGTCTATAACACAATTTAAATAGCAAATAAAACTGCTCTCATTAAATAGCCTATGAAAGATCTTTATAATACCATACAGCCATTAAAAATAGTTTAAAATAATTATTTAATTACATGAGGAAATGCTCACATTAAGGAAAAAATAAAAAATATATACAATGTGATTTCAATTTCTTTAGAGAAGTACCTAAAAAATAAGACAACAAGCCATTAATACATGAAATTAGAAATCATTCTGGGACGCCTGGGTGGCATCTGCCTTCGGCTCAGGTCACAATCCCAGGGTCCTGGAATCGAGGCCCGCATCAGACTCCTCGATCAGCAGGGAGCCTGCTTCTCCCTCTGCCTGCCGCTCCCCCTGCTTGTGCTCAGTCAGTCTCTCTCTCTCTCTGACAAATAAAATCTTAAAAAAAAAATCATTCTTATCCTCATTAAATCCCAAAAGGTAGATATTATAAACACATACACAATTCTCAGAATTAAAAGATGTCCATTCACTTGGAAATATGCATAAAACATACACATATCTTATGTATAATATGTAATTACACATGATTCATAATAAATTATATTTTAACTGAAACACGTAACATCTTTCCTGAATTGTCAACACAACAAGAAAAAAACTACAGAACATACTAAAATATTTTAAGCAGAAATATCAATTTTACCAGAATACACAGCAGTCAACCAAAAAAAAAAAAAATTTACCACTCTAAATACCTTAGTAATTAAAAAAACAAAAGCAAGAGCAAAATGAACTGAAATTTTAGAAATGGAATAGAATTACAAGCCAAAAAGTAAATGAAAAAATAATCACAAAAGAGATTTAAAAATGGAAAATATAGCAGAAAAAAAAATCAAGCTAATTCATTTAAAAAATACAACACAGATCAATAGTCTCATTCATCTGTACAAAGAAAAAATGTAAGCTAATAATAAATAACATAATTAATAAAAGATTATGAGCTTTTGTGATAAACTATTCTCTGATATTTACTAATACATTTGGAATTAATATAACTACGTAAAAAGATGATAAATCAAACAGATAAACAAAAAGATACAAAAAAGAGAAACCCAAAACTAAGAGAATAAGAGAATTTATCAATAAACCGAAAAGAGGGGGTGACTGGGTGGCTCAGTCAGTTAAGCGACTGCCTTCAGCTCAGGTTATGATCCCAGGATCCTGGGATAGAACCCAGCATCTGGCTCCCTGCTCAGCGGGGAGTCTGCTTCTCCCTCTCCTCCTGGCTCCTGCTCTCTGTCGCTATCTCTGCTCTCTCTAATAAATAAAAATCTTTAAAAAAACAAAAAAACTGAGAAGAGCACTGATAAAGTTGCTGAAAAAATTTTTCCCAACATTCAAAGGAAAAATTCGTCTATTACACATTCCAAAGAACAACAACAAAAGCATGAAGAGATGGCTTCAAATGCAGAATAGTTAAGAGCATCACATGCAAGAAATAAAAAATAAATCTCAGGAAA